CTAGTAGTCGTATGCATCGACTTGATGCGATCATTTTTGGTACATGCTTGCGGGCCAAAATATGGCAATTTAATGTGTCGTTGGGACTTAAATCGATCAACATGGTTATTATTCAATAGCTTTTGGAAAAGGCGCATTTCCGAGCCTCTCTAGGTCATATACAGCAGAAGATACGCCCTGAAGTACATGTTTGTAATTTGCCTATCTTCTTTCAAATGGACAAGAATTAACAGCATAAAATGGGTTCTACTACGGTGTTCAGATTGACGCAATCCATGCCTTGTTCATGTGAAAAAGGGCTGAGCTTTCATCTCCAACCTAAATGTTATAGTAAAGCCAATCTACAGCTGATACAGAGGAATCTGCCACCGTTCTCTGGTGCGATCGACCTTTGAATCTTTTCGCCAAACACTTTTATTTGAAAATGAATTATGCTCGGCAATTGAGATCGTTATTTGTCTTCTGATCCTGATTCACTTATTTGTGTGCACCTCGGTTTTCAGCTTGCATTTGGCATTAATTGATACACGCTACTTTATTATCAGGCTACCCTTTAATCAACATTTCCTCTTTTTGTCGACTTGGAGAGATTTTGGAGTCCCTACTTAGCCTTAGCCGACTCGTTGTTTCATAGGCACACACTTCTATTTTAGAAGTAGTTTATTTTACCTCATCAAGGCATTATTCGCTCGCTAAATCAGTTTCATTCAACTCCTATACCTCCTCGGCTAGCTTTTCCTACCTCGATAATGAAGAGCTACGCTCGGCCTGGCTCCAAGGTGTCCAACAGGGTGTTAGGCTGGCAAATGAAGTCGCTGAACTTTTTGGGCTCACATATCAGCTGCTTACTGCTGCCCCGCGGTCGATTAATGACACCAACCCCAGCATGAATGCTACCAATTCAAGTCTTTTCGACTCAAGCACTGGGTTTAACAGCTCTATCCGCTTCGGTGCAGACAGGCCGCTGACACATGTTGTCGATGCTGCGGGCAAACTGGATAGACTGACGGAAAAGCGGCGCTCGAATGTGCTCCGAATTGCAGATGAGTTGCATCGTCTGCTCCGAGCTCTGATGTTGTCCGAGGCAACCGACTCTGGTCGGCTGACTGAGTCTCCGATCTGTCTGTTAAACCCCTGCTCAGCCTCGGCACCATTGACCTTCATCACTTTGGGTGCCAACGCTTCAGCCTCTTTTGCTCCTTCCTTTCCCGCCGCTCAACCAACCCAATCCGCTATCGGAGCCGAAGCATCATCCGAATACTCTCCTTCTGTGTCTCTGTCGACGAAGATGAGCAGGCAAATGTCTGCAGAAACTCCTTTCCACCCTGGAGCAGTTGCATTGACAGCAGTAGGTTCCCGGTTGGAGAACTTGCTGCATAATGATTCTTTGTTGACCATGATTCGAACAAAAGCCAGACAAATCCACAGTCTGCTCGATTTGGATATACAGACCTTGACAGATTCAATGACGACACTTTCTTTTTGATATTTTTCTTTACATTCCCTTTCTCTTTCTCTCT